AACTTTTTGATACAGGGATCTCTCCTGTATACTGTTTAGCTAGCAGCACCCCAGGCTCCACCCAGTAGATGCAACTAGCACACCCAGAGACCATCAGATACATCTCTAGGCACTGCCAAATGTCCTGGCAGGATGAAATCCACTCCCAACCTTCTGAGAACCACTGGTGTAAAATATTCACATATTTCCCTAACAACCTAATGGGGTTGGTAGTATCAAATTCATTTGCAGCTGTGGAAACTGAGAAATAATAACACAGGTTATAAGTGGCAGAACCAGTATTTAGCCATCATTCAATGTGATCCAACTGCAAATTGAGTGCTCTTTCAACTAAGAAATAGTTTTTTCTTCCTTAGTGAACAATAATCTGGGAGTAAGAAATAGAGGGTATGTACCTGAAAGAAGCAAGAGATTTAGATCAAGACTTTGGGGTCAATAGGGGCTGCAGAAAAAGGCCACTGAGGGAAGTGACAGGAAGGAAAAGCCACTTAGCTAACTGGCCTGGTAATTATACTTCAAGTCAATTCCTGTGCCTTTTATCATCTTTGCCAGAGAGTTCATCTTTCTTCAAAGAATATTCTTTCTTGCACATACGTCAAAATTTTATGGGTTGCACTAGGAAAGACCTAGAAAGACTATGAAAAAGAAGGCTGAGGTATAAGAATGATGGGTATTAACTCCTCCTCCTCCTCAATTTGGGATTTTGGAAACTTCAAAATGAAATTTCTGGATTGATCTTGATAGATTTCAAGAAATCTTTGGCTCTGCGCCAAAAGTTAGGTCCTAAAACTTTAAAACTATGTGATCCTGAGAACTAAATTGCTTAACATCTACTGGTTTAGGTTCCCATTTCTTTCTAGGTAAAAGAAAAGATAATACATCTTGCCTCCCCCCCCGCATCATCACCTAGAATGCTTTCAGGAATCTTATTTCTTTAGTAAATATGTCAGCTATTACATACCAATCTTAAAATTATTAGAATATGTCAATACTTTTTTTAGCTGATTTTTAAATTATGCCCTAAGTACATAAAAACATAATATTGGACTTTTTTGAAAGTGTCTGCATTCTTCAAACTTAATTTGGAATAGAGAAAAATGTAGTCCATATGGCTTTTGTCAAAGTAAATTATTTGTGACAATTATGTACAAGGCTGGTTCTTAAATCTACTCTTGGGAACAGAGGGTCAATCAGTACTCAAATGTGGGCTCAACGTACTGAGGTTGATAACATGCTGGCCAATCAACTGCCCCTCATGAACACTGATTAACAAATTTAGTTGCATAAGGCTTTGTACCTAGCCTTACCTTGTCAACATTTTTAATCAACAAATATGGGTGGAAAGCAAGGCCTCCCTCAAAGAAGGGATTCTTCCTGTAGTATCCCTAGCTCGAAATGGTCCACCCTATTATTGGACACTGCAAGAGACAGACACTCCACATCCTAAAGAAGCTGATTTCATTTTGGATTATTTTGGCCAGAGCTTGCCCTTACATAAGTACAAATCTTAATATTGTAGCTTGATTCCCTTTCAAATGAAAAATAGTTTGTATTTAAAGATTTGTGATTATGTCCATTCATTCCAACACAATTCCAGTCTACTTATATTGGAACCTCAATTTCAACTCCTTTCTAAATTTCAAAATACTCTAGTTTTTTTAAATACTTATTTAAGTTCCAAACTGGACTTATACTCAAGTGAGGAATAATGGAATACTAATGTTAAACAGCAGGAGAAGTCTAGTTGTTGGGCACTTCAGAACCTCCTTCATCCTTTCATAAAACTATGGTCTACATTGGGTGACATGTTACTCATGGAAAAATGCAGACATAGTCAAAAACATGCAACAATAATTTGATTTCGCAGCTGGAATCCTAACTGATGAGAAAAATGACTGGAATCATCCAGAGATAACTGGTTTGTAGCAACTGGTGTCAGGACCAAAATGTCACTTAACTGATATCCTGAACCTGTATTTCTTTCTGCTTGCTGACCCTCTAGTCCAAGGCAAAAGGAAAAAATTAAGGAAGAATAGGCAAGAAAATATGTTACACATAACTCATCCCACAGGATGTGTATCTAACTTCTTCAAGCCACATAGAGCTCTTGAGATACTGGCAAGGTTGGTCAACATTATTAAGTAGAAAGAATCCACCTTTAAGACTGAGGCAGAGAAAAGAAGAAAATGCAAAATGTCTAAGCTGTCCAGTTTTAAATACATTTGTATTCAAAAGACAAAGTATCGACAGTGTGAGTACTTAGGCCATCTCCACTATTCTTACCTCTCTATTCCTCCCCATCCCATTCAGCATCTATATTATCTATGCAGATTTTAGGTCTCTCCCCCCAACTCCTCCTTTAAGGTAATATGCACTTTTTTTTTTTTTTTAAACAGTGACCTTTCAGGGATAATGGCTCCTAATTCTGTTGAACAGTCAAAAGAAGAGTCTTGCTGATGGTGAGATTTTTGGACAAATAATGAGGGCAGCAAAAGAATGCTTATCTGGGAGAGGGCTAGTCAAAAAGGACCTTAAGGCAGATCTCAGAGGCGGCCAGAGATGTGTGTCAGGGAGGTGGACATGGCATTGAAACATGGTACTACCCCAGGTCACGCTATCTCCAGTACCCCACGATTACCATTATGGGGGGAGGATAAGTGGCCCAAACAGATCAGATTTCCTTTAATTATACAAAAGGCAAGAGTTATAGGGAACCAGTTAAAACCCAAAACCTCTGGATATACTGTGGCAATTTCTAGAACAAACAGGTCCCACTCCATTGGGAAAGCAAATCTTCATATAGCGAGTACACTTTCTCAGAAAGCAACTGGGAAGAACAGTTTAGAAAGGCTGGTTTCCTCATTTGAGGGCCTGTCTCAGTGCCCACACTAAAGGTTAATATTTATTTAATATTATTATGTCCCAACCTTAGCTAACCACGACAACTGAATTACTTCATTTAATCATGCCCAGAATGCAAGAAAGAGTGTTGCTTCTATTACCGTTCCCATCTTACAGATAAGGAAACTGTTCTGAGAGAGGTTAAGTAACTTGTGTGAAGTCATACAACTAGGAAATGGAAGAAACTAAAACTCATACAGTCTGAACACACAACTCAGGCCGTCAACCACCACACCTTTATGCCTCCTTAGTAGACGGGAAAAGATGCCTGTTTACAAATCGTTAATATTTTATTAGATTTCATTTTAGAACACAGCTGCCCAATAATGAAAGAGACAGAGCCAGGGAGGGAGGGTAGGAGGGAGCCTACAAGAGGGTCTGCTATCACAGGTGAGCTCACCTGAGCTTTTAGGAAGTAATTTACTGAAGACACAAATAACAACAGAGGTTCAAACCAGAGACTCTAAGCCTTAGCTTTCTCATGTTGAAAGAATGGGGCAACCAGCCCTCTCTATTTCACAGCACTGGTGAAATGAGTAAATGAGGTAATTAAATGCATACAAAGACATTCTGTAATCTGCAAATCCCTGTATTCTACTAGGTATCCTTTTTTGTTAAATACAAAATGCACAGGTATGGAAAATCAACCAGGCAGAACACATTTTCGACACAAATGCACAAGAGCCTGTTGACTAATGGAAACTAGATATTAATGTGTTCAACCAAGACCAAATGAAAATTATTTCCCAAGGTATTTGTATCAGCTTTTAACGCTACCCTCCAGAGGAAATGCACCCAGAATTTAACTGGTACTTGTGGGAGCTTCATGTTTGAGAAGCCAAATGTAGACTAGCAAATATAAACATCATCTCCTGCCCCTCCTGGCTATGTGCGTAGGCAGTGGTAGCAAACACCAGCTCAAGCACCACCCTCCACGCCACCATCCTTGATCTCTCCAGTCAGCATTGATCAAGCCATCCCCTCTATGCTCTCACAGCACATTTGCTATTTCCTTGGCATTTCATTCTGACTGATTTCAAGAGTTACCAGTTGCTTCCAAGCCCGACTTCCTGCTACTGCTTGAACGCAGTAAATTCACACAGACCCCCAAACACCTAAGGCAGATAGATAATCATACTGGCCGGCACTCCAACGTTTGCTCTGTGAAGTTTCTATGTCTCAATTCCAAACACGAGGCCGTAGTTTCAGTCTGCACTTGAGGGTAAATAGACACATCACAAACCTAAAAAACAATGGGGGGGGGGGGGAGTCTGATTGCATATACATAGGATCTTCTTTCTTGACCTATGCGTTAAAGAAATGCTCTTTTAAAAACCAAATGGGAGGCACATACGGAAATGAAAGAGGAGACGAAGGCATCAGAAGCTTCAAAATTCCGTTTCTGATTCAGAACTACTCTATCTAGCTTCACAAACACATTAGACAGCCCTTGTAACACAAAAAGCGGGCATTCCGTCTCCTTGCTGAATAGTTCTAAGAGGCCATGACTCTCATTCTAAATACCACTCAGGGGTGGGTACTATTTATTTGCCTTTCAATTTTGAACCCAGAGCAAAGGACATTCTAAAGGCAGAGTTAAGCAAAGGAAAGGATGTTGGAAATGGAAAAGGCTCTCGAATTGGCACAGCGGGCAGGCCCAAGGACAAGAACATTCCACTTGTGTAGGAGACGAAGGAATCTTGGGCCAGACTCCCAGGAAACGTGCTTTAATGGGCTTCACTACACGCCACCCAGGTGGCAAAGGGGGCGTAAAACTGTTGCGATTCCTTACTGACGAGGCCTCCTTCGACACCGGAGTCGGCCGGGTGAGGCCGCCGGCGGTAACAGAACCGCCTGGCGGCCCTCCCTCCAGTCCCCAGGTCGCTGTCATCCCCCTCCAAGAGGCGCAGAGACGGACCCAGTCATCACGACGCGTTCCCTCCGTCCCCCAGGACGCGGCCTCCCGGCGCCTGAGGAGGACGCGGGTCAGCGCCTGCACGGATCTCCCCGTCCCCGCCACACACGGAGACCGCCCTCGGCTCCGGCGAGCGACTTCACCCTCGACCCCGTTTCGAGAAGTGCCCAGAATCACCCATTACCTTCCCCAAGCAAATGTGGCACGTGATGGGCAGAGTGAGCGACAATGTAACGTTCTGCACGGTCTGAGCCATGGCAGCGTTCAGAATCCCGCCAACACGGAAGTCCCGCCGACGGCGGCTCCAAGCCGCGACTGGGGCCGCGCGAGGCCGGCTACGGCAGCCTGGCAGGGCCACAGTCCGCCGGGAGAAGAAACGAAAACGCGCTTTTGAAATGTGCGGTCGCCACGGCTTTTCCTTTCCTTGCTTCCTCCCTCCCTCCTTTCCTTTCCTCCCTTCCTTCCTTTCATTTAAAAAAATCCCGGGTTCGGAAGCTGCAAGATTCTTGAGAATGAGAAGGAAGGCGGTTTACTACTGGCGTCGATTGTGGATCTTGAAAGTTTACGTGAAAGGGTCCAGAGCGGAGAGGAAGACAGGGAAAGCGATTTTAAATGCCTTACTCCTTCCCTGAGGGCGGGTGGGAGTTTTCCTCCTAAAAATTAAACCCCACACAGTCTGCAAACACACGGCGCGCGCCGTCAAAACAGGAAGAAATAAAATGTTATGTATACATTTTAATTAAAAAAAAAAAAAACTTTCTGCCGCTCTCAGATCTTTTTCTATTCTGAAATGATGCAGTGTTACTCAAAAATAATAAACAGTGATTGTCTCTTGATCTCTTTCTGAGACGTTTTGGATACATTTAATCGCAGGTTTTCCTGAAGGCTTGCTTTTCGTTGGCCCTTCTGTGGTTTCTGCCTAACAGAGACTTGAGGGTCAGAGCCACGGACTCTGATTTACACCCCCAAGTGAGAGAGCTGCAGCCGTGCCAGCCATCCACCCTCGGGAAAGCGCTTGAACAAGCCTGTGAAGCCTTCATTTCAGGTGCAAGGTTGGATAAGCTATGTATCATTGGGCTGTAGAACTCGGAAGGAGAAATGTGTGAGGTTCTAAGTTAGCATTTCCTACTAGTGAAAAAGAAAAACTCTAGAAGTTCCTTCATGAATCTTGAATGCAACAGATTTGAAATTTAATTGCAACTTACTTTAAGTGAGAAAAAGCCAGGATGATTAATTTATGCAAACAAATACAGTTTGTGAGTAGAGAGATTAAAAACAAAACCAATGGAGCTACTTTTACTAATCTTTCGGGGAAAATGAGACAGTATAATCAGAAGCAGCATGTGGTCAAAGGAAAGGGGTTCTGGACCCTATAGGAGGAGGGAAGAAATCCTGGCCCCAACAACTTCCTGGCTCTACTGGCTTCAGATAATTTATTTAACCTCTCTGATTCTCAGCTTCCTTCTTGGTAAAGTGTGTGTGTGTGTGTGTGTGTGTGTGTGTGTGTGTGTCTTTGTAAATGAGGTCAATGTATGCTTACTATCATGTCTCAAAGAAACGGACAATAATGAGACTGGACCATCTCGAAGAAGCCCAAGTCCAGTTCAAAATCTGCTCCCAGGTGACCGTGAGAATTCTTCCCAGCATCTCAATAACTTCATTTCCTGGGAATTGGAGGCCCTCGTGTGTTTGGAATTGGACAATGAGGCAAAACTGTCTGGTTATTGGTGACTTTTTAAAAATGCCTGGCATAAAGTCACTTGGTTTGGCAATTTTTTTTGGCTCTTTTAAGTCATATTTTTAGAGTCTGGAATTCACATGTTTTGCTAATGCATCGTTCCTATCCACGGCTGTAGATCTCAGGCTTCAGAATGAGAAAGCTCCAGGTCCTTCCGCTCTGTCATTCAGGTTTCACCTTTTTCCGTCTTGCTGTGTTCTTCCCTGATCTCACCTTGCACATTCCCTGTTCTCACTGCGCTGATACCTAAGATGATGTTAGGACCTGTCATTCCCACCCTCTGAGTGGGATGTAGGACTGAGAATATTTCGCCTTTCACATCCATCCCTAGAAACTGCAGCAGGGAGACATGTTGAAGACAATCTTTTAAAAAATTTTTTTTCCATAGTTAATACTGCAATTTCATTGCTTGTTAATCGTCTCAATGATTGGTCACAAAGCTGAGTTTAAAAAATCATAACCTACATTTTAAGTATAATGTCAAAATCTAGACTCTCCTCAACATCTCCACATTCACTATCATTGTCACGGCTTCTTGGTGCTGCCTTAGTGCTTTGTCCATATAGTTATTTCTGTGTTTCTGTGTTGATCACATTGTATTATAATTGGTTGTTTATGTGTTTGCGCCCACAACAGACTGTTTCTTGAGGCCCGAGATTGTATCTGAGGTATCTAGTATCTGGTACTCCATGACTACTCCACAAAAGGTACTAATTTTTTTAGCTACAGATGCAGGCTGTTTTAAAATTTTTCTTTACTTGTTTTTCACTTCAAAATGGAAGACTTTTTAAAAATTTAGTTTTTTGCTAATTATAAATTTCATTTAAAATTATAAATTATAGTTAAAAATAGCTTTTTGCTAATTATAAAAATAATAAGGCTTGCCTTAAGAAAATTAAGTCATTTTTTAGGGGCGTCTCAGCGGCTCAGTTGGTTAAGCATCGGACTTCGGCTCAGGTCATGATCTCACAGCTGGTGAGTTCGAGCCCTGTATCAGACTCTGTGCTGACAGCTTGGAGCCTGGAGCCTGCTTCGGATTCTGTGTCTCCCTCTCTCTCTCTGCCCCTCCCCTGCTTGTACTCTGTCTCTCTTTCTCTCAAAAGTAAAATAAAACATTAAAAAAAAAATTAAGCCATTTTTTAATATATAAAACAATAAGCAGGGTGCCTTGGGTGACACAGTTGGTTAAGCATCAGACTTCAGCGCAGGTCATTATTTCATGGTTTCTCAGTTCAAGCCTGGCATTGGGATCTGTGCTGACAGTGTAGAGCCTGCTTCAGATCCTCTGTCTCTTTCTCTCTCTGCCTCTCCCCTGATCACTCTCTCTCTCTCAAAAATAAATAAACATTAAAATAATACAAATAAAATAAAATAAAATGCCAAATTTCCTCTGTACTTATGCCTCACCTTTCTTTTTTAAAAATTTTTAATGTTTATTTATTTCTGACAGAGAGAGAGAGAGACAGAGCATGAATGGGGAGTAGAAGAGAGAGGGGGAGACACAAAATCCAAAGCAGGCTCCAGGTTCTGAGCTGTCAGCACAGAGCCCCATGCGGGGCTCGAACCCATGAACCACGGGATCATGACTTGAGCCCAAGTTGGCCATCCAACTGACTGAGCCACCCAGGTGCCCCATATGCCTCACCTTTCTATCCTGTGTGGTCATCAGTGTTAGATTCTAGAGCATATCCAAACATCCTAAGTCATATATATATGTATAAACCACAAATAGGATCATACCATAACATACCTGTTTGTTTGTTTTGTTTTACTAGTACTTTGTGGATAGGTACACACATGTACATATCTAAATAATATTGTTAGAAATACAGGTTGATTAGGACTCTCTCTAGGTCCAAACTGATTCCAGGCCAATTCCCAGGCTTTGCTTTTACTAATGCAAATGGTTTAAGGCTAGGAACTATTCTTTCCCTCTGCTCTATGAACAGCATTTCCTCTTGTTGATAAATCATATACTAATTAGATGTTATTTGGCCAAAATTGTTAAGTAACGCTGCTATTACTCTAAGAGTAAAACAAAGATTACTTGCTTCTTGACTTTCTGCTAAATCTCCTTCTGGACTACTTAGTAACCTTATGCGGAGTCCTGTGATCCAAGGAGTTCTATCAGATATAACATTCAGGACGGGCTAAAGCCCCTAAATGCTTAGACTTATAAACTTTTACAACTAGAAAGAATTTTAGGGGTTTTTATACAGGTCTCTGCTTTCATAGATGAGGACACTGAGACCTAGAGAGGTAAATCACTGGAAAATGGTAGATTTGGAGCTCAATCCTAGATCCGATTTGGAGTCTCTGAGATTGTTGGCCCAATGCCTTTGTGTAAGTGCAAGATGTATTATTATTAATAAAGTAGTTCAGTAATAAAAAGTCAGTCATAATTGAATTTCTTTGCTAAGAAAACCATCAAATAGCTATGGAACACCTTTTACCCCTTGTTTAAATCAGATTCATTTTTATGATAAATTATTTAAAAGCAAGTTTAAAAAAATATAAAATCTTAAGTGCTATTAAAAATTGATTAGGCATGCATTATTCTTCCATTGACCCAGTTCAGATTGTTTTTTAATTTTTTTGGTCAAAGCTAATAAATTTGAGTAGATGTTTCAGACAGACATTTTGTAATCATTTGGTCATCAGTCAATTAATCACAACTTCATAAATATTGATTTCAGATTACATTTATTTTTCATTCCTGAAAGACAATCTTTTTTGTTGTTGTTTGTTTTAAATTTATACTCCCCCACTTGGATTGTGGTTAACACTGAGGAAACGCATAAACGTTGGATTAAATGAATCATAGGTGCTGGCCCAGCCGCATGGATGTCAAGCTTGATTCCTCCTTCTCACAGGCTGGGAATTCTGATCTGAAATGTGTCAAGATGGTGGCATGAAAGAGGCTTGTTATTACTAGAGAAGAAGAACTTGGGCTTTTTCTTGCAAGTGTGTTTGTTTGTTTGTTTGTTTAAGAAAAGACTACTGAAAGCTAACCTGCATTCATTTAATGTACTTCTATTAGAAATATTAGGGAACAACCAGCTTAGACAAAGTTCTGCCTCATGGAGCTTTCATTCTAGTGGGAAGTTTCTACTGTGTTGGCTTGCAACCAAATCTTGTCCTCTTAAGTAGCAGTTGAGGTTTCAATGATGAATCTGCATATCGGATTTGTATGTAAGTCACAGTATAAGTGATTGCAAAATGAATAAATAAATAATAAATAAATAAGTTATCTGTTGTTCCACCAATATTTAAAAATTTTTTAAATGGCTTTTTTAAATGTTTATTTAATTTTGAGAGAGAGAGAAAGAGAAAGAGCATGCGTGGGGAAGGGGCAGAAAGAGGGAGACACAGAATCTGAAGCAGGCTCCAGGCTCTGAGCTGTCAGCACAGAGCCCGATGTGGGGCTTGAATCCATGGGAGATCAAGACCTGAGCCAAAGTCGGACACTTAACCAACTGAGCCACCCAGGCGTCCCTAGTTGTTTTTTGTTTTGTTTTGTTTTGTTTAATGTGCTAGGCACTGGTCTAA